CGGATGGCCCAACTACCTCCTTACCAATGTTACTGGCCACAACTTCCATGAGCGCCAGCGTGAGGGCCGTGGCAAAGGCAGGAAGAACGGCTTCGGCGGCGGCGTCAACCACTTTGACCCCAGCTCCCCCATCTTTGATCAAAAGCACGCCAAGTACATTGTGCTTTCCGACATTGGTCTTGCCATTGCTTTCAGTATTCTCGCCTACCTCGGCAACCGATTCGGTTGGGCCAACATGGCCGTCTGGTACTTCATCCCTTATCTGTGGGTGAACCACTGGCTTGGTAAGTCTGGCAAGTAAACTGTCATGATTTTGTCACGCGTGTTAACGAGATCCTCTCTAGTTGCCATCACCTTCCTCCAGCACACTGACCCAACTCTGCCTCACTACACCGCCGAGGAGTGGAATTTTGTCCGTGGCGCTGCTGCTACTATTGATCGTGAGATGGGCTTCATTGGCCGACACCTGCTCCACGGCATCATTGAGACTCACGTCCTTCACCACTATGTCAGCTCCATCCCCTTCTATAATGCCGATGAAGCCTCCGAGGCCATCAAGCCTGTCATGGGCAAGCACTACCGCTCTGATACCAGGGATGGTCCCTGGGGTTTCATCCGTGCTCTGTGGCTCAGCGCACGCTGGTGCCAGTGGGTTGAGCCCAGCGCCGACGCCCAGGGTGCTGCCAAAGGCGTTTTGTTCTTCCGCAACAGCAACGGCCTGGGCACGAAGCCCATTTCCATGAAGACCCAGTAAAGTAAAGAGTAAAACAAAGGAATAAGACCAGAGCTCACATTCCGCATTGGCGTTGATTGATTCTCTTTTATATTTGAAAAATCTCACCTTATGGATTTTTCTCCGATGGAGGGGAAAGCGGGTTGAAGCGGCATCATGATATATTTGCATTTTGACCATGTTTTTTTCTTTTTTGTTCTAGACACGATGATCCCCTGCGTGCTGATCTGATCACACGTTCGGAGACTGCGGGTGCAAAAGATAGACGGCAGACGTGATGACCTGATAGACACCTATAGACCGCAGTTAGATAACAAGATGATTCATCGAATCAGAGTCACTCAGGTGGCTTGCATGAATATCAAGCCTGCGAACAGCAGCAACAGGACATGGACGACCAAGGAATACTCTGGTATCGCCCTGCCATCCATGGTGAACGCACCCCATGCCATTACGATTGTTCGAGCGTTGCAACTCATTGATGTGCAGGTTCTGTGCCACGAAGGATGCTTTGCTTTGCAAGTCTGCTGAGACGCTCCTGGGCAGTGATTCGCGCAACATTGCTTTGCTTTTGGCCGGCATTCCCTGTGAAGCATCCGGACACACCTCGAAGCGCCGCACTCTTCTTCCTGGTAGTCCTACTACTATTGCTGGACGTGGGATAATGTCAAGTGGCTCTCTGCGTAGCCATTTCCACCACTTGATTGTTGGCATCAATCCGTCTGAGCATATCGGACACGGCCTGCGCGCAAAGTGTTAGCTGGTCACAGACGTCTCCCTGATGAAGGTTTTGCGCCGCGGGCCACTCCGTTCCTGCCACCGTGTTGCGCGGATGACCACGTTAAACGGGACGAACAGATGGCAGATGCTGCCTGAACGTGTCGGAACGCAGTCTAGAGCAACGAGAGCATTCCGCGGAAGAGGCTCTCGAACGAGAGGCTCATGATTGGAGTCGGCCTCTGCCGTTGGGATATGGGCAGGAAACTAGGTGAAGAAACTCCCATGGGCAAGAGAGGGAATGGCTACCGGTATTCCAGGACTTATCGCCTGGGCACGTGGCACCGGACTACGGCATCGCCTCGTCTACCGTGGACAAGATGTTTGTCGCAGTTTGTACCATGGGGTGTTGGGGAGGCTGTGCCGTCTGGTTTGCGGGAAAGTGTAGACGGCGAGGTTTGCAAAGTCCTTCTTCTCGGAGACCCCGTGCTGCTTTTGACGAAATTGAACGTCTTCATGCGCTGGAGCAACTCGAGGGTGTATGTAGATTGCGCATCTCATCAAGGCACATCACCTGCCTTGATGAGCTGCTCATCACTCGTGTTCCAATAATAGTCCACGTGTACGGAATATCGGTCGAGTCGACGGCAGCCGGCGTTGAAAATGGCCAGAGACGAATGTATGTGCCGTGGTGAAGGGTCGGCAAGGTGCTCAAATTAAAGGCTTCGGCGGCGGGTCTGCGAATCGAACCACGGCACTTATTATCGGGGCGACTTGGTTTCTCAAGGATCTGGGCTGTGAGCGGTTTCGAGGACGTCATGCTGCGTGGGTGGGATGGGTGGCAGTGGCCGACGGGATTTTTGTTCATGTGTGCGCATGTAATCTGTCGGCTGTTTGGTTCAAGGTGTGGGACTCGGTATAGATCCGACCGATTGTATACTAGTATTCGCATTTGCATATTGAAAGGAAATAACTGCCGACGATCTACATGTAGCAAATTAAACCTCGCGATTGTGTGAGGCCTCCGCCTTTGGCAGATTTGCGAAAAAAAAAAAAGAAAAGAAAAAAGCACACACGTATTATTTGCAGGTAGATTGTTGCAAACTGTGAGGACACACTACGGGTGGTGTTGCGCACATTTACACGCATGTGCGTTATCTATCGCAACTTGGCAAGTGTTGCTACTACTGTAAGCGGAACCCGGCATTAGTTACTTACATATAAGTACTCCGTACTGCTTGATCGGTAGAGAGATAGATAAATAGATACGTAGATGGGTAGATGATACATAGATAACTAGGTACTCCGTATATCCTGACAAGGCCGGATGTCCGCCTAAGCGAAGTGAGGGAAATGATAAAGAGTCACGATCAACACTCTTGGTTTCCGCTTCAGGTCACGATGCTGTGCAGCAGCCGTCGGCCAACAGCGAACACGACATCAGAGGAACTCGGCAGGTCGGCCTGCGGCTTGGCTTGTCTGTGCGGCAATCCGCTCGACCGTGCGACACGCTCACCGTCCTTGACACTGGCCACGTCTTGAGAGCGTTTTGCCCCCATTGGCCTCAATGTTTCTCGTTTTGGCCGCAACCGCGTCGACTGCCGGCCTGTTTGCCCACCCACCGTCTGGTCACGGCAGCAAGGTTCACCACGTTTCCCACTTTCCCAGGTGGCGATTCGTATTTTGTTTCCAGCAGGTTGACCGTGTAACTCGGCATGCGGATCGCGTGCTCGAGTTTGCAGCAGCCATCCTTGCCGCCTTGGTTTCGACGCTGAATCGCAGCGATATTACCTGGATCGAGTCAAATGCCGCAAAACAAACAAGAAACCTCGCGGGCACTGCATATCGTACAATCGTCTCAGGTAGTTCCCTGGCAGCAACAATCAACTCGATACAACATACGACAAGGTCCAAGAGACAAGATGGGGCGGACGGCTTTAAGCTTCACCGTTTGGAAAAAACGCACGCCTCTTGGGGAGACGCTATTCCCGGCTACCGGAACTTTGACAAGGAAATTAGAGTTTTGCAGACTCGTGATCGAGTTGTGCTGTGCTGTGCTGTGCTGGCAGCCTGGGCTCAAAGGGAATAGAGTTTATCGAGTCTGCCCACTGGCGACGCAGCTTGCGATGGCAGCGCTGGGGTTGTTGACCACGGACCTAGGGAGGCCAAGAATAGAATACGAAAACGCTATTTCCTGGCCGTCGTTTTTTTTCTCTCCGTAGCTACAAGATCCCGCCCGCGTTCAGGTTGGCATCAGTGCGCGCGCGCACATCATCGGATGACGGCTGCGACTAAGCTGCTCGACCGCCCTTTGCTTGCCCTCCTGTCCGTCATCCGTTCAGCTGGGAGCTTCTAGTAAACCCACGGAGGGGCTTGGCCCCGGAATGCCAACTTGTTTGTTGGCAGCGAGCTAGCCCGTTGAATCCTCGCGGCGATGTCACGTCCAGTTAATAATCGTCCCGATCATGCCACTTCCCTTTTTTTCTTGGCCGATTTTTTTTTTGCTTTGACTTCTGCCGGCCCGCTGACGGCATGTCTCGGATTCAGAAGAAGGAAGAGAGAAGACAAAGAAACAAATATCCTGTCGGGTTAAAGTGAGGATCGACATTTGAGCCCACAAGTCACTTATATCAGGGGGACTGCAGACAAGCAAGCAGCCCGCAAGTCTCCAGATTTTTTCCTCGCCTGCTCCGGGAGGACAATGGAAGCAAGGCTTGCTTGCTTGCGGCCCCCGCTGCCCATTGTTTACCATCGACGGCCAATCTTAGGCTTTTCGTTGATTCGCCGCATGCCGGTTCGTGTCTTATGCGCGCCGGCTCTGCGCTAGTCATTTCCGACGAGGGCCTCGTATTTGGGCGACAAGAGCCCTTCCCCGCGAACCGCCTTCCCGATCTCTCAAGTTTCAGGCCGCTGGAACTGCTGGAACCGCTGGCGGTCCTGGCATTAGCCGCAGGCCGGGGGCGACGCCGTCGTGGGCGTGGGCCGTGGGCGTGGGCCGTGGCGTCGACGAGCTGAGCAGTGATGTGAGTCCCGGGGTCAGGGGTCGTTCGGGAGGAACGGCTGAGGCCCCCAAGCCATGGACCGAATCTGTCAATGTGGACATTGGCCTCGTGGCCCGAAGCTGCGTGGTGGAACTGGAATGACGGGCGGCGTGTACTTGGTATGCACGCCGCAGCCGATTCCAACAACTCGCGCCAACCAGACGGTTCGTGGAGCCCGTTTTTTTTTTTTTTTAATTTGTTTTGGAGGAGCCGAGTCACGATCATTGGCATTGCTGTCATGCCACCCCTGCTTCATGTTTTGCCAGGGATGGGTTTTGTATATAGTAATTCCCCCCAATGGCACAGCCGAGACAATGGGGGTGAAGGAGCGTCTATGCACAAAAAAGAAAGGAAGACGAAGAAGAAGAAGACTAATAATAATAAAGCCCCTCTTCCCGTTTCCCATTGCCAGCGCATGATACATGTTGTTGAAAGCCCTTGAACTATTCCCGTGGTGACGTATTGGTCAAGACTCAAGACGGCCTGGTTTCCATCATCACAACTTGACCATGAAGCTCACGACCGAGACTGTGCTTCTCGGCGCCCTTTTTGCAGGGCAGGCCGCCGGCGGCTTGGTGCCGAGCCCATTGACCGGCAAGCAGCACTACCACGAGAACTCGACCTTTTCCAAGCTCTTTGCGGCGCCGCCCATTGCCACGGGCGAGCTCGACCGCGCGGGATGGAAGGTGACGTGCGACAGCTTCGAGCCGGGCAACGAGTGCAGCATGGCGATTGACGGCAACAACGACACGTTTTGGCACACCAAGTTTGAGGGCTCCAACGTGCCGCACCAGATCGTGGTGGACTTTGGGGCGACGCACAACATCAACGGCATCTCGGCGCTGCCGCGGCAGGACGGCAACAACCACGGCTACATCGCGGCGCACGACGTGGCCGTCAGCACCGACGGGAGCAACTGGGAGACGGTGGCGGCGGGCACGTGGTACGGCGGCGACAAGCTGCTCAAGTACGCCAACTTTGAGACGCGGACGGCGCGCTACGTGCGCCTGCGGGCGACGAGCGAGGTGAGCGGCGCGCCGTGGACGAGCGTGGCCGAGCTCAAGGCGTACGCGGCCAAGTCGGGCCCGGCGGCGTACGGCGGCGTGGGCAAATGGGGCGCGACCATTGACTTTCCCACGGTGCCGGTGGCGGCGGCGGTCGACCCCGTGTCGGGCAAGGTGCTCGTGTGGTCGTCGTACACGTACGACAACTACCTGGGGTCGACGCAGGACCGCGTCTTCACGTCGCTCTGGGACCCGGCGACGGGCTCGGTGACGCCCAAGCTGGTCGACGACACGGACCACGACATGTTCTGCCCGGGCATCTCCATCGACGGCACGGGCCAGATGGTGGTGACGGGCGGCAACTCGGCGTCCAAGACGACGCTGTACGACTTTGCCAGCGGCGCGTGGCTGCCGGGCCCGGACATGACGGTGGCGCGGGGCTACCAGGCGTCGGCGACGCTGTCCGACGGCCGCGTCTTCACCATCGGCGGCTGCTGGAGCGGCGGCTGGTTCGACAAGAACGGCGAGGTCTACGACCCGCGCGCCCG